TATGTGCCTATCTACATAATTCATGTTTATGTATAAACACACAAGCAATTATGTATGCTTACTTATGAAAGATGCATATGATTCATATTATCAGTAATACTACATATAGAACATCTAATTGGTGATCTATTTGTATTTTTGTTTTTCATTAGTAATCAGCATCAATGTAAGCTGGTCATAGGTGGTGGACAGTAAGTCATTTTCCTCTAGGATTTTAAAAAAATCTTCTATTTACCCATCTCAATCTAATTTTTTTTTAATAGTAGTATGTTTTCATTGCAGACTAAAGTAGTTTTCTGTCTTTTAGCAGTGAAATCTGATCTTTAATATTACACTTAATATGCTTATGATTTCAGAGAGACAGTTCACCGTTGGTTGAATCCTTAACTATAATATATTACATTTTCTAACAGTAATGTAAATTGATGCACTTAATGGTTTCTTCCCAGAATTATTTTCCATAAAGGAGAAAACATTGGTCAATTTCCAAAATGTTTTGTTGAATAATACAGAAGTATAATGTACTATTATGTTGAAGAGTTAATGCTGTGCTTTATGTTCATACAATAACAGAGGAAAATACTTCATTTTGTTATATATTCAGTACTTAGTATGTGAAGTCAAGGCAACTTACTCATTTAAACTTTTTCCAAATAGTTTTCAATTTATTTTTCCCTGGTCACACTATAATTAATATTCTATGTTTTACTCTCCCTTCCTTATCCCTTTTTCTTTTACTTAGTTGATTTCTGAATGTTTCCCTTTATTCCTGTGATCTTTTCTTCATAGCGGCACTGTCTCGGTGAAGCTTTGCATAAATCTATCAGCAATGTAAGTGATTTGCACTTACAACTTGTAAATAGGGCATGTTTGCACTAATGAATTTGCATATCTTGTATTATTGCTTTAAAGCTTTTAGCTTGTGAAATACATTATTTAATAATTTTGGAGAGGAGAACATGTTTGCTGCTAGACATCAAAAGCTTGTGTTCTGCATCCATGCCATCTGTGTAAACGTATGTATCACTGGACATCATATATCATATATGTGCTCATAACATAAGCAACATTTTTTGCGTCATCATTAACGCAAGCAAGCTTGTGGGCAGTGCAAATGTGTATAGCAGAGCTTTCTGCAAAGCATGAGATTGATGTATTATAATTTGCAGTTTTGCAGTGCAAGTTATAAACATAGCCAGAATATTCTTATATTATTTCTTTCTATTTTTATTTCTTAAATTCTTAACAATATTTTTAATATGCTGAAAACCTTAGATGAAAGTGTGGAAAATTTAGAGAATAATATTCATTTTTTCTTTTGAATCTTCTATACAAAAATATATAGACATGCAAAGAGACACACTGATATTTAAAAATATTAAGTGCATTAGTATATGTATATCCAAAATAACAAGTAAAATGATGTACTCTTCTTAAAATAACTCTTTTTTTTAAAAAAAAAAAAAACATGTTGTACTAGACTTGTAGGCTAATCTGAGTTGGTTGTTAGTCATTTAAACCTTGTTGTCCTAAATTTATTATATAGTCTACTGGCACAGATAGACTTCCCCAGAGATTAACTTATTTTTTGCAGTCATTTTAATCTGATGAAAGTCCAAACCCTTCTTGGGAAGGATGTTCTTCTAAAATGGCTTCCCAGCCAGATGTCATACTTCTACCAGACATCTCATTTAAACTGTTTCATACATTTCCAATAAAGAAATGACTTTCCTTGCTTAAAAGGTTCATAAATGTTGCAGTAAGAGTTATGGATCAGGGACCTATGTAAGAGAGAGATTTAATTTCAAGCAAAAACATGTTTATTTTTGTCATCTTCATTAAAAACCCATACAAATTTGACTAAGATATCAAATTGTAGTCCATTCCATTTGAATGTTACCATGAAAGGCTTTTTAGAGTGCCATTTTTGTATTACTGAGGTTCTGCAGGACTGAGCAGGACTTCCCATAGAATTATACCTCCTCGAAGCCATCATATGGCCATAAAAAGGAGCATAGGAAGTTCCACACCAATATGAGAAAGAAATTCTTCACAGTGAGGGGTGACAGAGTACTGGAACAGGCTGTCCAGAGAGGTTGTGGAATCTCCTTCCCTGCAGATATTCAAGACCTGTCTGGATGCCTACCTGTGCAGCTTACTGTAGGGAGCCTGCTTTGGCAGGGGGTTGGAATCAATGATCTCTAGAGGTCCCTTCCAGTCCCTAAGATTCTCTGTTTTTGCGATCATGAAAGGGGCAGATATGTGGTGAAAGCAATATGAGTGCACATAATGTCTGTCTAGTATTTCAGTGTTTCTGTCACAGCCACTCAGAGGAAGATTATCTGAGTGAAAATGGTTGGATTTTCTTTGTGTAGGGTTTTTGAACAGTAATTTGTATGTAAAGTTCCAACTAGTGCTAAATTGGACTGAATAATCTCTTAAGGCTGTCCTATCCTTACTGCTCATTCCCATGATTCTGAAAACGGAGTTAGAAAGAAGAGTAAAGGAAGAAAAGAGGCAGGGTAGAGATACTAGCATATTGAATTAATTGAAAATGAGAAGTAGATGAGCTAGGACCAAGTTGTAATAGTGATCTTATGAAAACAAAGAAATAAAAAATTCCTGAGAGTCTATGTTAGTGGTTAAATAGGGTTAGAGGTAATCTAAATAAGCACAGAAGTTACTTCATGGCAAAAGGGAAAAGCAGACCTCTAGATAGGGTGCAAGTTCTGCTAGGTGTAGTGTTGTGGAGAAAGAGGAAATAAAGACAAGGCAAGGCCAGATAGGCCAGATAGGTATGAGGTTGCAGAAAGGTGGGGAAAGAGATATTTAATATTTTGTGAGTAGGAATAGATAGGAATGTGAAGAAGGCAAAGAAGAGTTTAGATAAGGGAGATATTATTCTGTCTCCTCTGGAGAAGGAGAGAAATCAGTAGCCCATTGCAATACTGAGCTATAATGCATATGTAAAAATTCATAGTAGGCCATGCAGGCAGGGATGTGGTGCAGATTGAACCACATCAGCAGAGTGAAGCTCTAGAGTTGAAGATATGTAGTTGCATTATTGGCTTGTCTGACTAGGAGTGCACTGCAAGGAGTCAGCTGAGAAGTGATGAGGCTTTTGATCAAATTAGAACTCCATGACACAGAAGGAGAGTTTCTGCATAGATAAGAAACAGGCTGAAAGATGGGAATTAAATTCAGTGTTGCTGCAGTAAAGTTAGATAACCAGACAAATTTTACTGACGTTCAATATACTTTCTTTTGCAGTTTTATGTAAAGTAAGATGGCAAGTTAGCAGCTTCTACAAAGTTTTTTAGGATAGGAAGGAATTTGTCTAAAAAGCACTTATTTGGGTTTAAGAAATAATGAGGAATAGTGGTAGACTTTGTAGTCAAGATACCTACATGTATTTCTTGGCCTTATATTTTTCCCTGATTAACTAGGGCTGGATGTTTCTGGATGGAGAATAGTAGATTAGAAAAACCTCTGACTTACAATTTGTGTGTGATTTATATTTAATATACTCAGTAAAAGGTTTTGCATGTATAGTTCAGATTACAGAATGCAGTATCAACCTGCACTATATTCCTTCACTTATATTTAATTTCCCTCAAAGTTGTCTGAAGTAAAATACTACTGATATAGTATACATGGAAGCCAGTGTGTATATATAACCAGATACAAAAACCTGAGGAATTTGAAGTGCAAGTAGCTGTGGTTGTTTCATTCAAATTAATTTGCGTGTTTTACTTTATTGCTAATTTTACTTTAAATATAGCTTCTTGCTTCTAAACATGCTTAAGCTGTTGCCTTCTAAAAAAAACATGTTCAATAACGCTCATGCTGCAAGTTGTCCCTGATATGCTATTACATTTTTGTTAATTGGTGAATTTTAATGTTCTGTAAATTGATTTGCAATGTCTTTGTTAATTTTTCAAAAGATAAAGATAAGTAAGATACATTGATTCAAATGACACTATCATACTTTTCATTTGTAATAAATTTGACATAACTCTGAGGCTTGAAAAAAATCCTTACCAATTCAAATTCTTTGTCATGTGACAATTTTATTTTCCCTTCCTTTAAGTCATTGCAACAAAATTCACATTTAGTAAAATTTTGTTTTCAGGATTTGAGGATACATCTTTCTTGTTTGCTTCTGAAGAAGATAGATTTTACTATTTTCAGTCTGAGAAGATGCTCTTGATGTGAAGAACAGAGTGTAAAAATATTACATAAAAGAAAATGAGACTTTTTCAAAGAGTGCTGTGTGCTATAATGTATTAAGATTCTTGTTCAGAGAAAAGCATCATTTACAATAATAATTTGTAATACTCATGTAAGAAAATGAGTATTTGTGACTCAGACTGCTTCAGTGTTAAAAAAACAGCAGAAAAAATCATTATTATTATTATACTGCTGAGCTAACAATAGAAAAGGCATCCATCAAGTTGCACTATTTCACTTGTCATGTAGAGTCCTAAGCCACCATGTCTCTTAAAATCAAAAAGAGACCAATAAAATAAGACCGTACCATATGAAAACATTTTAAAAATTAAATTAAATCTATCAATCTATATGTCACAAACTATACTCCTTTATGAACTGCAGGATTTTCCATACAGAATTGATGCAGTCTTGATATGAAGAGTAGCTTATTCTAACAATCAGACACTTGATTTTAGACCTTGATAGTGTTGTTTTTATTGATCTTCATACAAAAGTTAGAATTAAATTTCAATAATTTGACCATGAACAATTGTGCTATAGGTTTTACAGTAGTATCAGTATATCAATCTGGTGACCCTTACGGAGCTACCTGTAATGTAATGGTTATATCCCTGAGATATAACTTAAACAAGAAATCCAGTGGATGACTGCTTGCCCCTTGTAGTTAATATTCTGGTTAACTTTCAAGTGTTTTCTTATTTATTTTTTGTTTGTTTAGTTTAGTTTAATTTTAATAACTAATCAATATTTGCTGTTCTGTGGATTAGATCTCCTTGCTCAAGCAGAATCTGGAGATGCAGCTTTCCCAGTCACAGAGCTCTTTACAACAGCTGCAAGCCCAGTTCAGTCAGGAGCGTCAGAGGCTGACTCAGGAGATCCAGGAATTAGAAGAAGAGCATCAGCAAAGGCATAAGTCACTTCAGGAAGCTCACATCCTTGCTTTTCAAAATATGGAAGAAACAAAAGAGCAAGAACAAAAGGCATGTTAATATGGATATTCCTTACTATGTAGAAAATGTTGCCAATTTAGCAACTTAGATACACATGGAAAATTAGTAAGGAAAAGTATTTTCATAATTACTAAATTTTATTTTCAGATGATGAGTCTTACAGTAACATTATTGTCCTGTTAGATCTGATTAGAACATATTGAAAGTCATCTCTAATACTGGCATTATTTCATACCTTGCTTTATACTCTAGCAGCTTGTTGATAGTTATATAATTGCACATATTTATGTATGCACTCACTATTATGTCTATTTATAGTATAAGTGTGTGTGAATGTATAATTATTACCTGCACGCACATTTCTTAACAGTACTTTGAGACTGTCATCTATTATATTCTAGGTTTGATTTAAAAGGGGTTTATTTTTATCTCATATTTATTAAATTCTATATGTGCTTTCTGGCATTTCCTGATGATTGACTCATTTTGTAATGTATTCTATATTTTTGCTGTGTTGGAAATGGGGTGAACAGTTTTGCAACTCGGAAAGTAATTTCACTTCAGAACAATGTCACACCTCAGATATTTTGTTTACATGAAGGTTTTAAAAAGAAATGGAGAAGAAAATTATCTTTCAAGTTGCAAAGCAGTTAACACAAGTTCTAGCACAATGAAAATACAGAATACAGAGCATAATGCTTAATAGTGTGTACATCTTTTTAATTTTTTTAGTTCTGATCTGGAGTGTACCTTCACAATGAATTTCCTAGTTGTTTGCACCCAATGCTGAATAACTTAGTGAGAGAAGATACTATGAGCAACATCAGTGCCTCTTCTTTAATAGTTTCTAGAGTATGACACTATTTGTTAATTTATTGTCTAATATTTTATAATTCCCAAGGCTACTCTAGAATTAATTTTGACCACTTGGATATTGTAGGAATTAGAAGAACGTTTACAACAAAAGCATTCAGAAGAACTTCAGGCACTGAAAGAAACACACAAACAAGCCATGGAAGGTTTCAAATTGGAGATGGAACAGGAACTTCAGACTCTGCGATTTGAGCTGGAGGATGAAGGAAAAGCTATGTTAGGTACAATTTTTTTTCAAACTTGAAGTTGGATCTGAAAACATTACTTCTACTTTTATAAATATTTACTCATGCACATGCGTGCACAGACCTACCTGTATATAAATGTACGTAATATCGCTGTAGTGCCATTCAGTTTTGACGTAGTTCCTCTTAAAATCAGTATAAGCTCTAACAGGTAAGTCAAACTTGTTCACTTTTGAATGTCTTGCTGTTAATTTTTATTTTTATTTTTATTTTTAAGGATTAAGCAAGTGAATTTCATAATGTATTTTTTGGGAAATTAAAGAATGAAATGACAGGGTAGTTGCTTGGATTTCTGTGTGCGCTGATTTTTAGGAGTATGAACCCTAACACACCATCTCTGAAGTAAAGAAATACTTGGGCAATACACTGATTAGTGATTTCATTGATACTTGAATTTGAAATTAGATTATATTTTGTACTGCAGGAAGAAACTGAACTGTGCTTGGAAGGATGCAATGCTTCAGCCAGTTTAAGGAATATGAAGCAATAAATAAGACAAAACCATAGGAAAACAGTGCTTATTCCTTGTTTATTTTCTCAATAATGTAGATGAAATGCTATTTTTTGTTCCAGAAACGAAACAGGGATTTCACAAGCAAGTTATGTTTGAACACAGTCTCAACATATGCAAGATAGATGTACATAGATGATAATGTAATAAGATAATGAAAAGTACCATACTTTTTACTCCACAGCACTTGAATACCTCTGTGTAGTTTTGGATTTTTGCTAGATCTATAATTTAGAGAGTCTCTCCTGCCACACACATGCATGCACACTTTTTCTGCTAACAAAGCAGCACAAATCGGTTTTGGAAAGGAATTGGAATGTGGCAAGGAAGATGTTCTGGACAGACTTTAGGAGTTTCACATGTAAGAAAAGTTTTATGGAGGAAAATAGAAAATGTCTATGAGATGTGAAGACTCAAATGGTGGTATAAGATAAAATGGAGAGGGTGGAAAAATGTGGGAAGAAATTTCATGAAAGTAGAAAAGAGGGCATGATACTGAGCATCAATATGAAAGACAAAAAGACTCCTGTGCAAGGTAGGAAACATGAAAGAGAAGACGAAGATCATATCTGCTATGGCATTTTAGTAGTCTGGACATAGAAATGACAAGGTGTGAAAAAGAAAAAATGGCATCACTGCAAATAGGAGATAAGTGTACAGAAATGATTTTCCTTTTCACACAAGAAACAAAAAATAAAATTTTAGAAACACTGCAGAGAAAAAGTAACTGCATGAAATGCAAGCGTAGATTTATTTATTTTTTTTATTTCTCAACATCAGCCAAAAGCAGGATATATAAGCTGTAAAATAATATATGTAGAAAGATACATTTTTTGAAGGCCTCTGATTTCACTGTTTTCTGTCTAATGCCAGCTTTCTCTGTCAGTGTAATGTGTCAATCAGTTATCAGTGGGAATGCTGTGGGGTTTTTTTGTTTGTTTTTTTTTGTTTCTTTGTTTGTGGCTAGGTACAAACAATTCTCCTCTGAGAAATGAAAATCTTATCTTGTACAATGCACATCAGCATAAAATTTCACTCCTGCCAGGTGAGCTTGTCTTCGTTGCCAGAAATCTGTCATCTTTTACTAGTTCAGCATCTTTTCCACTTCATTTACCAAGCACTAGATGAAGTACAAGATCAGGTTGCCTGGGGCCTTGAACAGCTCCAGGGATGCCCCATCAGCATGTCTGTGAACTGTGCTTCCCATTCAGCTGAGTTTGTATAGGTAGAATTTTACTGTTGAGAATAGAGGTGTAAAATAAATAAAGGAATCTATGCTCTAAATTCTGCCTGAATCTGACTTCAGTGTTATGTTAGTAACTGTTTATTATATGGGGGCTTATTTCAGAGCCCACTGAAACCGGTAGATTTAATTTAAGTGAGTTGATGATGACTAACAAAACAGCAATTAAGTCTTATAGGCCCTAACTGAATTTAGTTCATATGTAATAGACACGTTAATATTATCATAGTAACTGATCTGTTTAAGAACCATAACAAGTGCTTGAGTTTCTTGGGTTTTCTGTTAAGTAAGCAGAGAGTCACAAAATGTTTTAAAAGGCAATCGATGTGTATCTTACCAGCAAAGTACAAATTTAATAAATGTGGGAATTTTATAAATATAGGCATTTCAAAAATATGTGAATTGAGTGAGAAGATTTGAATTGAGGATTATATCCAAATTCTGCACAGGGCAGAGGAAGCTGAGGCAAAGAGATTTTTTCTGAAGCAGAACAATAAATAATTAGAAAGGCAAGCATTACTGCTGAAAAATAACATTTCATCCTCGCTTCTGCTTGACAGTAAAAGCTTAGCATGTATCTAGCCATGGATGTCACTAAGATAGAGAAAATAATTCTCTTAAAATCCAGAAAAAGAAATCCTAAATCTCTCTCTTCATCTGGTTTAATCCATGACAGTGAAAAATCCAGATAACAAAGTCTGGTAAACAAGAACACTGGAGATACAAAAAGAAGTGGAGAGTAATTACTAAGGTATAAAAAAATATTCTGTCATCACGAAATATCTAAAAGATATAAATTAATTACAAGGAATATGGAGCACGAAAGTAAATGACATCTGAAAATTGTTAGTGAAGAAATTGTTAATAATCTTATGTATGCAATGTCAGTGATGGCAAATAGACTCTTCTCCAGTTAGATTTTTCCCTTTTAATCCTGACAAACCTGTATTAAAGTATCAGAACAAAGCAAATAGTGACAATAGTGTACAAATAAGATTTCATTATAGATCTTATTTGGGTACCTGCTCTTTTAAAAAGATCTTACAAGCTTCCTTTGACAGGAGCTTTCAATATCTGTAGGTCTAGGTGGTTGAGTATGTACATAATAAAATCCATATGCAAAGAAGAATGATTGTTCTGTTACCTATGCCAAAGTAACAGCAAATACACAAGTATTTGCATTTGGAAAAGTAGGTCCTGTTTTCAGTTCTGGCCATAAATATTTTGCATCATAGGCCATGCTCTTGGAGATCAATAGACAACCTACCATCTTTTGAGAGATAGGGAACTCATAATTCTAAGATATCTTCTAATAACTTGTATTTTAGTACCAAATAAATCTGTCTAAAACTTTGTGGTTGCAGAGCTCAAGTGAGTTCAATCTGTTCAACAGAAATTTCATGTGGCTAACATAAGGAGTGTGTGTTAGGTTAGCAGCAGTACTTGCAGTAGCTTGACTGTTACTGTTAATTAACAAATAACATTTGCAAAATAAACTTTTTTTTTTTTCATGGTAATTAGCTTCCTTGCGCTCAGAGCTAAATCACCAACATGCGGCAGCAATTGACCAACTGAGGCACAACCATCAGCAAGAACTGGTAGCTGCTAAAATGGAACTTGAAAGAAGCATAGAACTTGGCAGACGACAGGTAGGAGGCACTAATAGCAATTTCTGATAAAACTGTATAATTGGTATTTGTTATCTATTAGCTGGAGGCCGTAACTTGTGAAATGTAAGGTGGAATTTAATCTTTCAGAGTCAGTCTGCACCAACCAGCAGGTAATGCATCCCTACTTGTTCACCTGAACTTTCTTGCATAGCTTTTTCTTACGACAAACTTTGATAGAAGCCTCATAAAGGTTGCTGTATCAGGGCAGTTTCCTTTTAGAGTTGTGCAGCCATCTGAGAGCACACTGAATTTCCTTGGGAGGAAAGTACAGATTCTCACAAAATTCTACTCTTCCTCAGCAGCCAGCAGGACTTAAAAAGGAAAAGCTATTTCTCTCTCCTAACTAGTAATGTGGTTAAGAAGTTAAAGTGATATGAACGATATGGTTAAGACTTAAAGCCAGTGGTTAAGACATTGGTTAAAGCCTATGGTTAAGACTTAAAGCCAAACAATTAATTCGAACTTAAAATATTTTTTATTTTCGGGAGCCAACTTGGAAAAGATAAATTAGCTTCTTAAGAAACCTAACTACTTCCAACTTGTTTCTTATATAAAAACTAAAACCTGAAATCCATTATGGGCTACCATTGCTATCAGCAGCAAACACTCCTTCGCTTCTATCTGTTCCTTTTTTTACTTTGTGCGGAAATCAGTTTTTTCCACTCGTAATTAAAATTCATCTTCATCTGTATTGAAAAGAAGGCAGATTCTTGAAAATAACAAAGCAAAAATGTCACTTCTTTATTTGAATACAGAATAGGCATTTCAGAATTTATTTCCCAATAGCCCAGTACCAGAGATGTCGTGCTTTGAGAAGTATGTTGTTATAGGAAGCAGTTTTAGTTGCATAGACAAAGACGCTCAAGGGTGAGCCTTTTATTTTTTACTTCTTCCCTGTGCATTTTAATGCATGAGCGCCACAGACAAAAATGTAGTGCTGTCAGCCATGAAAGAAAACATTGAGGGTTTAGTAGGATGTAATTTCAGTATACTGTGTTTAAGCCTTGAGACACCTAAATGTCTAAGAAACAAAGTAAAGTTCAAGAGCACGTGTTTGATCCAACCAAATCCTAGTATTTTTAACCTCAGTACAGCAAGCTGCTAAGAACATGCTTTAGTTGTACTGAGGACAAAGCAACCAGTTGTGTTTTAATGTGTTGAGTTGTCCATCAGTTTACAGGATCAGAGCTGCACTAGATACATAGAAGTCAAAACAGGACATAACTTTTCCACTGCCTTTTCTTGTAACTTTCATATAGTCTTTTTGTAGGAAGAAAGGGAGTTATCTTTAAGGATATACAGTAAAATTTGTGCATTAGGATATATTTGTATTTCCTGGATGTGTGAAGGCACAAAACAAAATTATGCATGAAACTACTTTGAAATCTCCTCAGCTTTTCTGTCTTTACAAACGATATGGTGCTTAATTACTGTGAAACTAAGAAGTGAAATGGATGGAAATGGGAAACCCTAAAAAAAATTAATGTTACTACAGATTGTTTCTACACTGAGGAGAATCATTGTCAAAACCATTGGGATAGGATCTAGATGAGCTTCTCAGATGTTAGCTGTATAGGAATTTGTTGCATAAAAATAATGACTTTTATTGATTTATTGGACACAATGTAAATATTACATAATGTAGAAGGGATATTTTGCACCAAGAAAGTAAAAAAAAACAAACATGTACAAACACACATTTTATGTCTAGGCAAGTATTTTACCTAGGTGGGTAATTTGGCATGTATTGAGCTGTGAAATATTTATGACTCTTGTATTTATATATACATTAGTTATTAAATTTCTGAATCATTGTTTTCATTGGCAGAGGGCACACACCTTATGCTACTTTTTTCTTCTATATGGTTTTGTAAAGAGAAAATCAGTTATGATTTTACCCATATCATTTGTTGTAGAGGTAGAAATTGCCAAGTGCCAGCCCTGTCATTCTTAGTTATATTTGTTTCTGTTGTGTGCATGGGCAAAAGGAAAATGTAACGAACACAAACTTTAGTGGCAATTACAGTTTTTAAAATTCTCTCATAGAGCAGATTTTTATGTTGTCTAATTTTGATTTCTTCATTATTTGTGCTTGCATGCAATAGAAAAGAATTAAGTGTTGTATGGAAAATTCTGGTCAGCTATTATCTTCCACAAACAAGGATTGTGATTCTGAGAGGCAACTCTATACTTTTTGCTGCTGCTACTTACAGGAGAAAGAATTTTTATGCCGAATATCAGATCTACAAGATGAACTGAGACATCGAGACCATCATATAGCTGAACTGGACAAAGAGATTCTGCATCTTCATGACAATATAAGTGCATTGACCAAGGAACTAGAGTTTAAAGGAAAAGAAGTCCTCAGAATACGCAGTGAATCTAACCAACAGATCAGGTATGATTTTTTCCATTCCAAACTGAAACATGTATTGTCTAATGTATTGTTATCTGTAAGACACATCACCATTTGCAGCTTTTAATTTATCATTTTAATCAAGTGATGATATTTATTGTCATTTTTCATTCAGAAAGGCTATGCCCAGTACTGGTACGGTTAGCAAATATTGCCATACAGTTAAGCTGCATTTCAGTAAAGCATTTTGGTGCATTTTAGTAATAGTCCACTTTAAGTGTTTTTGTTGTTGTTGTCCGGCTGTTGTTTTTTTAATTCATTATGTTTGTTTATTTTAAAAAGCATTAAAGGAGATGCATTTTCAATGAAATAAGCTAGGAGATTGGAGGACAGTAAGTAGTGGGTTTTGATGAATCAGTAATTCCTTTCTGTGTTGCCTGGTATTGTGTAAAAGCCATTAAGAGTGGCAGAAAATTGTGATGAACAAAGCAGTCTGATTTTAGAATAATTCTTTTTTTAACAAAAAATAAATTAAACAGGATGCATGAGCAAGATTTAAGCAAGAAACATGAGAAAGAGCTGGATGTCTTGACAGCAGATCACATCAGAGAGAAACAAAGCATGCTGGCAGATTTTAATAAGACCCAAGAGCTGCTCAAGGAAATTAATTCAGCTTTACAAGTTTCGTAAGTTTTGTTGCATTAAAAAAGTTTGTATGTAGCTGCGTTTGAGTCAAAGTTAGTTCATTCTGATGTCAATGAGTTACTGAAGATGTTGCAGAGGTACTGAGGTGCAAAAAATTCACTCGAATATGGGGCCTAATGTTGCATTTGTTGGCACAATTCTTGCAAGCTTTAGGATAGTTCAGCAAAGACAATTTTTAATGTTTTGAGCAAAAAAAAAAAAAAAAAAAATTGAAATAGGAAAAATATTAGGTCTGTGCAGTTCTTAGAATGTTGGGTAAAATGTGATTTCAAGTGTTTTGAGTTTCTTTCAAACATTAATATATGTTTTTTTGAGAGTACAAATTTTTCTTCGGCAAGTTTACAAAGTAGCACGGTAGTAATTAGTTAAGTGTGATTATACAAAGTGAGTGATACAAACATTATCAGGTTTGCTAACACAGGGAAAATTAATTACTGAAATTGATTATACAGTCTTAACATAATACTAAAGAGTGCCTCTGAGACAAAATGCCACTTGTGGTTGGACCAAGTCTGAGGAGAAGTGGTGTAGTTATATGTCGTCTAGTCAGTCTTCTTGTCTTCCACATGCTTCATTCTTTTTCCCTGTCTGTGATGTAACCTATTTGGTCTGTAACCTCAGATTTCTGGTTAGGGCTCCAAAAGACATTGAGAACTTTCCAAAAAAAAGTGGTCAGTGAGAGATTTTGGATTTGCAGCGCAACATGTATGGTAGAGAAAGTAAGTGGTTGCGAGTATATGATAGAAAACTTTTCTACGTAAATATCAACTAATAATGGCCAGTAAAGCATAAATTAATCTAATTCTGTCTTAACACTCTGAGCACTCAGAAACTGTAGGAAGTTCTGCTTCTTGTTCCTTTGTACACATATGCACAGTTCTGTGAATTGTGCATCACTGTGTTACAATCTGGGCATCTGTATACAGCAGCTTAACCTAGCATAAAATGTATGTCCCAAAATTAAGTCATCTGAGCATATTTTTGTTATGCTGAGTCAAATGTATTTTCTGCAAATAAAAGGGTTTTTTTTTTTCACATTCATAATGTATTATATAAAGAGATTACATAATCCCATCAAATTATGTACAGGTTATTTGAAGGTTATAAATATAATCTAATGTGCACTGTGCTTTCAGAAGCAAATCAAAGAATTATGAAGCTGTTTCTGAGGAGAAAGTAGCCATCTAAATTGAAAAATGGTCACTTCAGTGTGTCTTGTGGAATTAAGTTTGAGCTGACTGAACACCTTAAATTCATTGGTTTTTCTCAGGAACACTTTTTTTCATCTGAGTGTCTTCTGAAATTTGGTACATGCTCATGAACTACATGAATGCAGAGTATGTGAGACTAGTATTTTAGTGGTTTCCTTTAGAGCCATGTTTAGCATTATGAACATTCTTTGTTTCAGAAATGCATGCAGCTATTTGAAATCATCAGGTGCTTCGAAATTTGTTCTTTAAGAAGAAACATGGAGATTTATGCAGTTACTTGTGTAATTCGTCTCTCAGTCTGCTTATTTCACTTCTCTCCTTTAATGCTTTACCACTAAGCATTTTGGGTTTCCTATTTTATTTTTTATTTTTTTAAGAATCGTGGCATTTCTTTTAGTTCAGATATCCTAATATCCAGGTTTTATTGCTTTTCTCTTACAGCTCATTCCTTTATTTCAGCTCTAATGGTATTAAGTTGATTTTGGGGAGAGGAATTAGTTACCTGTTAGTCTTCACTGCTCTTGGATATCTTTGTCCCAGTACGTTCCACATGAACTGAGGAAGATGGTGCCAGATTTATGTATTTCTCCAGTATCACAAGCATGCAACTTTATTGAAGTAGTCATCTATTAAAAGAAAATCATACTGTTTGGTTTTTCCTCACCAAATCACTTGTCAGTGACAGGAACAACATTGCATTATATTTAATATTAATGTAAATTTTAAAAGTAAAACTTTACTTTTAAAATTTACATTAATATTAAATATAATGCAATGTTGTTCCTGTATCATGCATAATAACCAGTCTCAGTTATGTGTTCTGTAGTTGTACTGTACACGTTTTTCATTTTATCTGTGAGTGCCTTCTTTTCAGTCTGGCTTCCAAGAGGCCTTTTTTCTAACAACTAGTACTGCTTGCATGAAAAGGTTGTGAAGTTTATAAAATTTTGCCCCAAATTTTAGTTACTGTAGACAGATTTTGGGTTTTGTTATTTTCAACTAGCCAAAACTTAAGTGATAACACAGAAATTAATTTACTTCAAGTAAAAAATGTCTTCTATTTTTTTTACTTGAATTCTCTTTTGCATAAATGAAAGATATGATTCACTCATCATTTAGCGCTTGATCAGGCTAAAGGGGGTATTCTTTTTTCCTATAAAGTTTAGAAGAAATGGAAGAAAAATATAAAAACAGAGAATCAAGACCAGAAGACTTGCAGCTTATCTCAGAACTGAAAGACCTAATTGCAGAACGGGACCAACTCATAAAGAAATTGATCGTAAGACTTTTATGCTCTCTTGGTTCAATATCTGAATAAGTACAAATGTTAATCTAATTCAAAGTGTTCAAAATGCATCTAAAGAACCAATTCTGATAGCTTGTTTTTGTATTCTTTAACACATCGTCCCTGTCGTTCCACCATCTCATAACAGTAAACTCATTAAACACAGAATTTTGCACAATCAAACATAATACATTATTACAAAAATATACTGCAGTATGACCTTGGTCAGACTTATCCTATCTGCAGTCCTGGACTAAGAAGCCAGCCATGTAATCCATACAAGAAATAGTCTATTCTGTGAGTTATCTGAGAGGGTTCTAAGAAATATCTAGTAAGAGATTCAATTTCTTGATGCACTGAGTTTCCTGAAGTCACACCCTGGCAGCCTGGCTCAGATTAATCTGATTAGATTCTAACTCAGAAGCAAGAAGGAATTTGGGAAGTTCAAATAATTTTTACTGAATATTTACCACTGCACAATTAGAACATATACAACAGAACTGCATAAATAGAAATTATTTAATATTTACATATAATAATATTTTTAACATAATAATGAAATGTAGTTTTTAGAAGTATGAGTTTCTTTAAAAAAAAACATAAGCATAAATTTATTTGAAATCACTTTATAGGCAGATTTGGCCACTAAGTGATTGAGAATGCATAAAAAGAAGTTTATGTTTGTTCTTCTTTTTAGGAGGACAAAAAGTTCTATCAGCTGGAGCTAGTTAACAGGGAGACTAACTACAACAAAGTGTTTAATGCAAGCCCTAATGTTGGTGTTATTAATCCATTGGTGAAGGTATGTTCCATGGACTTCATTGCTAAAGTAAAAAATAAGAGATCTAAAGATAGCATATACTAAAAAGAAAAAATGTGTGTGTGCATGTATCGGTCTTTATTTAAAGACGAATTCAAAACAAGGAACATCATTGTCCATTTGTCTTTCCTGATTTTTGTGCAGGTATTTCTTTCTTTGGTGTATGTATGTATGTATGACATAAAACACAGTTCCTCCTCGCAAAACTGTAAAATCAAAATAGAAAAGGGATAGAAAGGCTACAGAGAGCAGAAATATAGCACATAATAGAAGATAACAGTGACATCCCAAATTAGTTTTATTTTTCATTGTTTTTCTTGGCTATTTTGGAAAAGGCAATTTTTTTTTCAGATGGCACAGGATTGAAAGTCGCTAGAAAGGGAAAGGGGACATGAAAGAAAAGAAATAGGGGCAAAAACAGGAAGAAAAAGAGTATGAGAAGGACATGGAATGAGACTGAGTGGAAAAAGAGAATTGGAGGGATAAACTAGGTATGGACTGTAAGGGAAGCAGAAGACGTAAATCAACTTTCAACCTTTATGCATTTAGGAAGTGGATATCATAAAAAGACTGGTCAAGATTGAATTCAGCATTGATGATTAACATATTTGCATATCAGAATCTACATGTGCACTATGTGCCTAAATTCCTGTTACAGTTAAGAGATAATTGATTAATAATTAAGGAAGCATGGTGTGCAGTGGTCTTCAGCTCAGAGTAGATGCCCAGTTTAGGGTAAGCAGAATTTCTGTCTTGATTTCTCTAGGCAGTGTTGTTCCCGGTTGTATCAGTTATGAAGATTATATGTAGACACTCAGACTGCCACAAATGTTGGCACGTATGGGATGAGTTCAAAAAAATCAAGATATACCAAATAAAGCAATATAGCCTTGCGCAGTTCAGGGTTCTTTGACACTGGAATAATTTTATCTAAGATCTAGTTTTGGTTATCAATTAAGTGGATTAACCAGAACAAATAGGATGGTCTCTCTCTGTCATTTAAGAGATCAGGCTGTGTTATTTAGCTAAGCTTTATGGTTTCACTTCAGATCATCATATTTTCATATCTGCACAAGCTTTGCCATAAACTGTCAATGCTCTCCAACACTTTTCAGGAGTCCAGCACTTCTGGCAAGTAGGTATCTGCTGATACCTAACTTTTATGCATACTTGCATAAAAGAAGTTAGTAGTCTTGATATTGTCTCTGCGAGGTCCAAACTAATTTGAATTCTTTGTTGTTGTGTGAAAAGTTGTTTGAAATTTTTGTAAGTTTGTCTGAACCACTCCTTTATAAAGATGAGAAATTTAATCACTGAGTATGTAAACTTGTGTTTTGTGTGAAATCTGACGTGCTTGGGAAAAGTACTTCAACATCAGATTTCCATAGTGATAATTCATGTATTTTTAACATAAGCTTCTATCACTTAAAATTAAGACTCTAAAAAAGTCTTGTATGCCAGAACATTTTAGTTTTTCATTTCATGATCTGTGGAACATGTTACTTTATCAAGGCACATACTATGTTTATCAGAGAATGATTAAGAGAAACTGAAAACTTCACTCTCTCTGTAATAATTAAAAAAAAACGTAAGTTATTAATTAATGCAAGCTTTGCACTTTAATGCAAAATTACAACCATTGCAGAATGTATTGGAATTTCTCAAATTTATGCAATGGATCTGTTTAGTATTATGTTGCTGAATCTGATGTTTTGTAATACTTTGCATGAACTTCATGGAAACAATACACACAGTTTTACTCCAGATTTGACTGCTTTGGAAGTGTAGTGTGCTCTATAAAAAATAAGATACAATCTGTAGTGTTTCTCAAAGCACTTATAGAGATAAATACATTTTGCAGAAATAAGGCCTCTTATGAAGCACACAGATTTAACTACAGTGTGGTTTACACAGTTTTAATTGCACTGTATGATACCTTGCAGTTGTTTTCCATACATTTGACTACTTTTAGTTTTACTGAACAGTTTTCCTATGATGCTGTTATTTCTTGCTTCTCCAGCCTGAAGAATTAGTTTAAGCTTTTGCAGCTAGTGGTTTTCTACTGCGGTGATTAAAAAAGATTATTTTTCTAGTATAGCCTTCTGTTCAATATATATGTTTAATTTTACGTTACAAAGGTATGCACCACTGCACTATACTAGTAGCACTTTCACCTCTCAGCTTTGGAAGGGCAGGTACTGAAATCAAAGCTAGCAGAGAACTAAACAGAAGAGTACAAACAAACAAGCAATAGGACTCTGTCTCCATTTGAACTCCTGACACTAATGAATAGAGTAGCTCTTCTGCTGACAGTATTGATTATATACTCAGTAAATAGATGATTCATGAGAAGAAATGAATCTTTTTTTTTTTTAAAATAGGGTTGGTTTTTTTTTTTTTTTTTTTTTTAATAATCCTTATCATTGACATGGAATATTCAATAGAATTCAGGAAACACACATGGTATTCTGTCAATTATTTTTGAAGACCTAGAGAATCATTTGAAGCATCTTTATACATTAAAATATCTATAAAAGCCGATAAATTCCGATTCCTTTGTATGATGTGTTATGGAAAGTTGAACAATTATATCAAAATAAAATCTGTCAGTATTTCGAGTCCCTTGAATATTATCTGTAGTATAAGGAGTATTAAGAAAGAAAAAATATTCGGTTGCGCCATCTGGTGCCCAGAAGCGTTAGCTGGAATAGCACTAGAAGCCCAGCCTTTACTTTCAGCAAGGAACAGAGCTCTCACTCGGTATTACCTTCTTCAACAGTATTGTTATAATGCTCGCTAACTTTGGGGGCATAAGTACTTTAAAAGAAATGTAGCTGCTTCTTTAGGCTCCTGTTTTACTGACCAAAATGTACATCAGTAATGAGGTGAAACCTGTTGGAGAGATTTGTTTTTTTCATCATTGAAATTTGCTGTGATTATATATGACAGTAAAGCTATTCCATTAATACCAAAACAAGACTTACATAAAGGTGAAAAGCTTAACAGGCTAACTGGTAAATTTGAGGAAAGCTTACTATCTTTGATGTTTTAAAATAGAGCAAAATGTTATATTGGAAAATCTTTAAAAATAATGTGCTTGTTGATTATAGTAGGTCTTAATAAGAAATTTGGGGAAAAAAGAAATCGTGTTGTTCAGTTCTGGTCAAAACAAACAGTAGAACTACAATTAGAAAAAAAAGAAAAAAAAAAAAAAAGAAAAAGAAAAGGCCCCCTCTGCCCCGGCTGCTCTCCTTCCTATCCAGCTTCCCCCTCTCCTCAATAAAAAGCCAGAAAAAAAAAAAAAAAATCCTAAATTTGCAGATTTCCTCAACTGTCCTGGTACAAGAAGCCTTCCTTATATTTGTTATTTTTAATGCAGCAAAAGAAGAAGAACGATAAGTCAACAAACAGGTTTGTGAGTGTCCCCAATCTAAGTGCTCTGGAATCTAGCGGAGTGGGCAATGGACATCCTAACCGCCTGGACCCCATTCCTAACTCACCCATCCACGATATTGAGTTCAACAGCAGCAAACCACTGCCACAGCCAATACCACCCAAAGAGCCCAAGACGTTTTTGAGGTGAGCATTGCCTCACCAACCTTTTTTTCTTTCTTAACTCTGGAAAATTTTGCTTTTGTATTGAATCCCACTTGCTTCATGAACCTTTCAGAGGTACAAGTTAAAGAATTTTCAATTTTTACATTATATTTGTAACCTCTTTATAGTATTCCTTTTTATTGTAGACCTTATTGAAGTATATTCTCACTTTTTCATAAGTCTTGAAGTTTGAAAACCTCTCTAGATACCTTGACAGAATTCATGTGCTTCCAATTGTTTACATATATGAACAATTGTTTTAAATGTTTGTGTTACTTGCTGGTTGTCATTTAGAAATTGTTACTAGCACAGAATTTCTTTTATTCAGTATTGTGTGATAATGGTTTTTATTTAGAAAACGATTTTCTGTGCTATGTGAATGTTCTGTGTTTCCCCTTTCCTCACCTATAACAAATCACAGGCAAACTTTACTGCAGAAACAGGAAGGGTATATTGAATGCTTAATGCTGAGCTTCCAGTAACTAAGTCAGCATTGAAGTCTCAAGTCATTCTCTAATGAATTGATACAATGAATTGAATTATTAACTTAAAATGGTTTCTTAGAGGTGGGATTTTAAACTTTTTGCTTTATGTGGCTACATATTAAAGGCACAGAAAAAGTGCTGTGTGCTGTATTTAGTTGGTACTGACCTCTTACCTCCAAGTTGGCAACTTAAAGCAGTGTGTAATTACCAGATCCACACGTGGTTGTTTACCCTTTTTTTTCTGTTTTAATGTGGAAGGCCACATGCCCAGCAACCACTTACCATTCAAGGAAGCCAAAAGTAGAATGCAAAATAGATAAGTAAAGAAAAGTCTATGTCAAGTAAACAGTTACTTTTCAAAAATACTGTCCTTCTTATTTTTCCTGTGCATGTGATGTGCATGACTGTGCTCAGATACCTCTATCATGCATGTGCATGAACTCATGGACTGTGATGCTAGAGTTTCCATTCCAAATTGTTTTGTGTGTTGTATTACCCAGTAATACAGTAGGGATTATTTTATTATGGATTTTTATTGATGAAGAAACTTGATTTTATTATGAAACTGTTTTCTTGCTCATTCAGTGAGATTTTTAAATGGTTCAAAGGGGAATCAAATATTGTTTGCAATGCAGCAATTTATTTTTCCCTAGTATATTGGAATATTTAAAATATCACTTGCACTGTTCATGCATATATCTGTGATCAGTGTAAAGTATGAAAATAGTGTGTTACCAACCAGTCTCTGTGAGCACATGTCTACAAATATGATGCTTGCATCATATTTCTGAAAATTAACTTTACCACAGGAAAAGGATGCTAAAAGAGGACCTTCTACAGACACACTTTTCCAAGAAAGCCCTTTTTATTCTTCTGATGGTATACAGCTGTTCAGGAGATTTTAAATTATATTTCCCAAAATCTTATTTGCCCACCCTGTAACGTGGCTTCTGAATTGACTTGTCTGTGCTGCTGATGCTCTCCAATGGAGTGGATGATCACAGGTTCTATAGGGAGACATTAATTGTATCCAGAGGCACGCTGATAACGAATCCAAGGAAAAACAAGATTGTTCTGCACTTGATATTCTCTGTGAGAATCTTTTCCTCCTAAGTTGGGTACTCCATTTAGTTGTGGGTTAATATCTTTTTCTTTTTGTGAATTTAGCCCTCCTCAGACTGATGCTTCACCAGTGGCTTCACCAGATCCACAGCGCCAGGAGTGGCTCGCCCGATACTTCACATTCTGAGAGATGATTTGTTTTTGTGGCACAGCGTGATGTGGACTGTTTATAAGAGCATGACCTTAAGTAAACCCTCATGTGAACAAGCTTTCCTGTAATTTGTCAAACACTGTGAATGAGAAAATATTTGTCTTTCTGATTTGAAAATGCACTGTATTTCATGTGATATTTGTTGAAATCACTTGACATGGTATTATATAATGTGTGTAATTATTATTTTTACTTAAGATGGAAGGATCTTTAAACTTTGTAATTACTACATAATAAATTTTGGTAGAACAAACGTAATGCTTTCCCCCTTTTTCCTATAAATGTGTTTTCTTTTAGGTAAGGCTTCCTCCCAAAAAAATCGCATGGTTGTTATAAATACAATGTAATTTGTGAAAGGAAAAATTCTCTCCAATTTGGACAGAGTATGTCTAATCCATCCCAGTTCTATTCTGTTACTTTGTAGCATTTTAAAAACTGTCCCCTTTCTAACATTTAAAAGGAAGAATATAAATTCTGTGGAAATCAGTGTAGATGCTCAGAGTAAGAAGGCCATAAAAAAGAAGCTGGAATTTTTTGACTGGGACAGATTTTTGACACTTTAACCGATGCCCATGAGACTTTACCTTCTAGTTATTATCTAACATCTTGTCATCGGATTGAAACAGCAACTGTTCACACAAATTGTGCATTTATGTTATGAATATTAACAAAGACATGCGTAAAACCTGTGGAATACCATACTACATATCTCTGCATAAATCAAAAGTCTACGTTTGGGGCATAAAGTCTTGCTTTAGATAAAATTCATGTCTGAAATGGTAAATAATCAAACTCAAAAAACTTTTTGCCATTTATACGCACTAGAGATACAGATCTTTAAAAATTAATTACCTTCAGTTGTCTGTATTAAGAGTTTTAATGTCTAATATATGAACATGTTGTTTTTTTTTTTTTTTTTTTTCAGCTAGTGAGCATGATTCTCCAATCTACACCTTTTTGATTCTGGTGTTGCTCCAGAAATTTGCTGCGGCATATAGAAAAGCCTGTTGTCTCTTTTATATTTTTTTCATTCAATGATTACCACAAAGTAACTCACACTGGTAGTCTCAGGGAGAAAATTGTCTCTTTGTTTTATGAATGTATTTTTAAGCTAAATCTCTTATCTTTTAAAAGCAGGAACAATTGTTTGAGTTGTTTAAATAAGGTTTTAGTTAGCATATACTAAAGTCTCTATCTTTAATATTTCACCTGAAGCCCTAACTACATACTTTTTTTCCCCCTGTATGCACAAAGGTAAATACCCAGATGAATATACTTGCTAATTACAATGAGTTTTATATGTAGTATATGTATAAATGAAAAATTTGTATGTTTTCATATAAACAATATAAAATATTCTAAATGAACATTTTAAAAATTCTATCTTATAATTCTGCTTGAAAAATCCACTGAAAGCTGTACTCTGGTGATGCTGCTGTGAACTGAAGATGGAGATTTTCTGTAGCTGGTGCACTCAAATGGAGGTAATATGCAACTTTTTAATTTTAGAAGAAAGCCATATTGGGCAAAATGTCAGTTTTCTTGGCTGTTACTGAAATAAAATACACTAGCTCATTTTGTTATAACGTTCTGAAGTGAGTGTTGTGTATTTTTTCTTGCACACTTTGCAAAGCCTATAAAGGGCTCTGCCTTTTTCTCCCATCCTCCACTTCATTGTATTTTTGTGTATGTAAGAGTGAACAATATTTGTAAGATGACAATGTATGCATTCACTTTAACTGCTCATGTTTTTAGACTTCAGTAAAAGGTGCGCCCAGGGTTTCTTTTCACTAGCAGGAATTTGTTTTTATAAGGAGGAGAAAATTGAGAAGGTGCCACGTCTGCCAAAGTCGGCAGCTGTTTCACTATCAAATCAGTCTCTTAAAAAACATCCTGAAGAAACTAGGAAAAAAAAATGAGTTTCTATCAAATGGCATTGAGAACTCTGTAGTGTGCTTTCCTAAAAGAAGTTGACGCTTTGGATTAATACAGGAACTTGACTTATCACAATACCATTGTTTGCAGTATCTGGTGTCCAGTTCTGCAGTCCACAGTCTTAACTCCTGGGTGTTTTCTTGCTCTCCTTTTAGTTCAGCAGGCACCTCTGAGTTAAAGAGGGGCAGAATTAGAGTGAAATTGTGTGGTACTATTTAAAATGGTGGGGGAAATGTCTTGACTCTCTAGAGTTCTCTTTGCTATCTGAGACGTAAATCTAATTATCAGGATTTAGTGCACCTCTGACCTTGAACAGTTTTATCCAGAAAGAAATTAACAATGTGAAGTCAAAGAGCAAATACAAGGTAATGTAGTTTAATCCTTACTGTGTTTTCCTTTGGAAGAAGGAAGTAACAAACTATACTCGACACCAGGGCAAAACGCAGAAGAATGCTACATTTAATCAGAACGTCATAATAATCTGCCTTCAGGCAGAACTTTGGCCCTTCAGTCTGGATTGCTTAATTTACTTCCGTGATGATTGTGAAATCTAGTGAATCTTCCAGGTTAGCAGAAAAATGCTCCATTTTACTTTCATACTCTCATACCACAAATGAAGAACTATGTCACAAGAACTGCATGGGTTTGTTCTGCAGCAGAAATTGTACCTGGAGTCATCGAATCATAGAATTGTTCAGGTTTGAAAAGACCTCAAAGATTATCAGGTCCAACCACAACCTGACCATACTACCCTGATTCCAAAAACCCTCTGCTAAATCAAGGTGTACTTGAAAGGAAAGTATACTTGAGGGGGAACAAAAAAAAAAAAAAAAAAACAAGAACAAAAACAAAACAAACAAACAAACAAAAACCCCCACACATTTGAAAAACCAAGTTACAATTAGTATTGCTTTATCTGATTGACTGCTTCCTACTACAATTTTTTTGGTTACTTCACTACGTTTACTATATTGGCAATAAATTGCATACAGAATACACTCATAACATTAGAAATCAGGCTTGTTCAGGATTTTCTACAATTCCTTTATTTTAAGATGTATATGAATATGGTTGCATGACTCCAGTGCTAGTCAGATAAATTTCACTAATTCTTTCTTGCTTATAAGGAAGGTGACTGAGTCACTCAGCTAAAGAACACCTTTTCTGCAGTCGGCGGGCAGCTTCACAGAATTGCAGGGGTTGGAAGGAACCTCCAGAGATCATCGAGTCCAACCGCCCAAGCTTCAGGAGTGAATAAGCACACGTACCTCTTTTTATTGTACAAAGACTGTAGAGCAACAGCCCACTTAAGTGCCTTAGTTGCCTAAATGTAGATGTAAGGAATCCTAGCCTATCCTTTTTTTTTTTTTTTTTTTTTTCCAATTATTATTATTTTTTAAATACAATTTGCAAAAACAGCAGCTTTGAAAGATGCAGAATGACTTTCAGGAGTTATGTTGCTCTTCTCATGGTATGCTCAGTGTAATCTAGTAACAGTACCTTTATTGCTTTTCCTAGACAAGCAATAAGCCATTTTTATTTTACTGAAAGTGAATATACAGTTTCTAGAATTGTGGCCTAGCTACTTTCTGGAATTGAGCATTGATTGTATCAGTTCCATTTTTTTTTTTTTTTTTCCATGAAGTGCCTGGCAAAATTTTCAAGTATAATTGTACAGCAAAATCACTTTTCAGTTTAACACTTAATTTAATTTGCAGCGTATTTTTAAATTATTATTTATAAGTATTCATTTTTTTAGATACTCTGCAATAATTGGAAATACCCATGTACACAGCACTGGGATCACGTAACAAAATCTGGCAGCCTGGTTGAAACAGAACTTCTCCAGCCTGTCTGCTCAGCCTGACTATTAACAACTGAACCTGTTGCCCAGCTTGCCACTATGCTCCTTTGCTGCACTCCTTTACTGAGTTAATGCAATTAGACAGCTCAGGCTTTATCTACTGTTCAAACTGCACCATAAGGCTTGGACACTGTTAAGAGTTTTTGTACATTGTAACTCAGTTATTTTCGTAGTATCATGGCCTGGTTGCTGTCAACAGCAGGCTGAACACTGTGAGAAGCAGAAAATGCCAGAAGTATTGATAACAGTGTTGCTAGGAAACAAGAAGAGCTAGGCTTAATGATATAAAAGTATAATTCCACAATAGCTACCAAAATCTGGCCTTATTATTACGAAGTGTATTCAATGATCAAGTCTACCAAGTTCAACCCTACAGTCCAGCTGAAGAGTTCAGAGGGCAGCTAGAACTTTAACTTGAACAATAGTCCTTGAATTGTAAATACAGTTGGAAACCATCAGCTGTGGTGCCTGGCTGCATAGAGAAACATAACCATACTGCAGCCTGTAAATAGGAGAGGCAGATACAGTTGCACCTGACAATGGAAAAGAAACTAAGGTAGCATGTAAGCTCAAGCGCTATTGTCAAATGAGCAGCAAATTTCATTCATCATGCTTAGTCTGAATCCTCACCTAACCTGTGAGATCCCTGAGCTCATCTCAGCACACATGCAGCCCTGCTGACAGCATCCCAGTTGCCTATTGAATGTGTACCACCGACCACTGCATTGGCTGACAGTTCTTGTACTCTTGAGACATTGCCAGCTCCATGGCACACGCTGTATTCTGTAAAACTAAAAAGCAGTTTTAGATCCATGAGCCACCTTTGGATTTCCAAATGACAATGGGGAACTTTTTGTGGGAGGATTTTTCATTGACTAAATATTTCTTCATTAATATGTGAAGCACATAGTTATTACTAGTTATCATTTGACAATTATAAATATTTCAGGCAGGTTTGGTTGTTCATTTTTTGTCTTCTTTTTAAGTTGTTTTGTTTGGTTGGGTTTTCTATTGTTGTTGAGGATTTTGTTTGTTCATTGTTTGTTTGTTTGTTTGTTTGTTTTAGGAACCACTACTTAGTTGCAACCTTCACTTGCTCTGTAGCTGTAATTAACTTTTCCAACTGCTGTCTGTCTCTTCCATACAAGAAACCAGATAACCGTACTGACCCAACTGTTGTGCAGAAACATAGAATCAAAGGATCATTAAGGTTGGAAAAGACCTCTAGTCCAGCTGTTGATTCATCCCCAACAAGCCTGCTAAACATAATCTTCAGTTCCACACCCACCCTTTTCTTGAACACCTCCAGGGTGGTGACGCCACTGCTTCCCTGGGCAGCCTGTTCCAAAGCCTTATCACTCTAAGAATATTCTTTTCCTAATATCCAACATTATCTGTGAAAGAAGCAGCTTGGTTTGGTACCTTGCAGGACAGCACTTTAGGCTGAGTAAAACTGACACTGAAAGTGTACCATGGAGACAGGGTCAGCCTGATACTACACCTAGATGCTTTGTCAGAAACAGTTCCGTATTTTCAGTGACGGATTTATTTTAGTGCAAATTTCAGCAGTGCTTTTGCAGGAAGGTCCATTCAACTAGTTAGCAAAAGGCCATTTGATAAAGCAATGGGACTTTACTATTAACACAAGCTAACAGTGGGAGAGCCTAAGAGCCAGGAACTCAACAGAGAATTTCACAGAATTGTAGGGGCTGGACCAGGCTGCACAGGTAGGCATCCAAGCAGGACATGAATATTTCCAGAGGATTCTCCACAGCCACTTTGGGCAGCCTGTTGCAGTGCTCTGTCACCCTTACTGTGAAGTTCTCACGCGCATTTGTGCAGAACTTCCTAGGCTTCAGTTCGTGGCCGTTTCCCCTTGTCCCATCGCTAATTTCTAACTTCCTTACAAAGAAGTTACATCCGCACTCTTCACGCCGACGCCGGCGGGCGGCCCCGAGCCCCGCGGGCGGCCCCGAGCGGGCGGATCTGCCGGGCCCGGCTCCGAGGGGCGGGGACGGGGCCGCTCCTCCCGCCGCCGCCTGACGGAGCGGTGGGACCCGGCCAGAGGGTCGGCGGAAGCCCGCGCT